ATGATCAAATTGCCAAAACAGCCTCTCAATGTAACAAAAAACATTTGCTTGTCTCGAATAAAGGATTTTTGCCCGGATTTATATCGTTTTCTTTGTATGGCAAATTGTTGAAAATGTGCCCTAAAATGGCCACTGAAAACCCTCTCAGAGGGGCAAAACCAAGATGGTGGCCCCGACGCTAAAATACGAATCGAATTGAACTGAAAGATATATTTTTGTGAATCACTTATCTAGACCATTCATCTGAGAAAGTTTGAGGAATTTGATTTTTTCTGGTCCAAATGGCCATAGTTGAAATTTACAGAGGGCGCCTCTTAATACTTTCCAGAACAGCATTTGCGACCAGCTTTTTAATGTCATTATCACTGAACTCCACGAAACGAGTTCGTTTTACTTCCATGTAAAATAAAGAATGTAAAGTATAAACTCTCCAGCCGGCTTTGTTTTTTTTTCGACGGAAATAACCCGAGAACAAATATCGACGCATACGGGGATTATTGCGTCTTATTACATGGCTCTGTCTCACAAGGACTGGGAACTACCAAATTCACGAATTTGATTGGCCTCAAATCGATATTGAAAGCCGTCTAGATTTTCCCATCTAGACTGGCATCTAGACCGATAATGTTTTGCAGTGAAAAAGTTGCAAACTAAAATGCAAAATCATTGACTATTTTCATCTAACAATTTTTATTTCATGGAAGTGCCAAAAGGACTGCTGAGAAAAATAAAATTATTGAGGATGAGCAAACTTTGGCAGAATTAAATTCAGCTCATCGCCTTTCGCAAGCAAAATGTCAGTTAGTACAAACCAGTTACATTAAACAAATCAAATTTTTCTTGTTGGCACCATATAATAAACATCTTATTAACCGAGCTTGGTCGGTCTGCATGGGAGAATCTTGACCTCGGTCGTGTGTACAGATCTCACTGCGTTCGGTCTGTACTCACGACCTCGTCAAGTTTCTCCCATACAGACCTCCTGCTCGGTTAATAAAAGCTTAATACCCGTTCTGTAATTTTGCACCACGTGACGTAAAATACCAATAAAATCGCGGGAGAATTAATCCTTGGGTTATAATTTATCATATCCGTGGTCTATCAGTTAGTACCCTGCTATAAGTAACGATAAAATAAGAAACCTTTATTGTATCCTTTCAGGATATTACACAAAAGGCGCAAAATCATTTATTTAAGATAATACGACAAAACTAAACTGGAATTTAAAATAAACAACGGATATTTAATCAGAGGCACCCTCGGATCGTTTCGGTAAATTATTTGTTCAGAAGGATTTTAATCCTCTCCGAAAACCGTAGAGAATTGTCGCCTCCTACTTTCGTGGTATGAGAAATTCAATGCCTGTTGTTTCCGGATTGACAAAAATTTCGTTTTTGGTACCACGAAAGCGATCAACTGTGATTTTTGGAAAGGTGAGTAGATTTTCAGGAAATGGACCAAAACGAAAGTCCTAAAAATAATCGAGAAGACTCAAGTTCCCTACAAAATGACCGATCGAACTGGTAGCAATTTTATAGCGCTACTTAATAGCGTAAATAAGTAGCATTTTAAGGTGTTTGAGAGAAAACCCTTGGTGCTGTACCCCTAATTAAATACCAAGCCGCAATAAAGTATACGGAAGCATCAGTCGTAATCGTAACTGGAAAAAAAAAAAATAAAACTATTAGTTATTGCACATTGTTTAATGCTAAATTGTATATAGGAATTAATATAAATACAGTGGAGCCCCGAATTACGGTCACCACGTTAATACGGTCACGTCGTTATTTCGGTCAGTCTCTTTTGTTCCGGCGAAACGCCCATACAGTTTTTGATAGGAAATCCCCGATAAGACGGCCAACGGCCACATTTTGAAATCCCAACCTGTACACGGTAATCCTTTATAATTTTACCCTTAATAATTAATACGACCAGATGTTCGTGGCCCGTCGATGAACGAATTAACGGGGTTCTACTGTCAACCTAAGATAACTGACTTTCACAGAATCGAATTTCTCTAGCCTTCATTCGATTTTCTGTACATAATATGATTATACAAGAACCGTATCAAATGTTCAGCACAAGTTAAGTAAATTGTTCTCACATTCGCTGTCTAACAGCACCCTGCCACGAGAATAAAAGCTTAACTCATAATTCTAATTGACAAAAAATAGAACCAATAATTATTACAAATAGTGATAATGTCAAATCGTACATAGGAAAAACACAAGTATTTCCTGCGCCTAAAATTGGCAAAACACTAAAGAAAGAATAACATAGCCTTCTTAGTTTTAGTAGAATCAATCTTCATCTCAGTTCTACCAAGGTTATGATCAGCATAGTGGTTTTGTTGCGTGAAGGCCCTTTAAACAAAGTTATAGTCTTTTACAGAATGCGCACCAAGGCGACAATGATTATAACAAAGACCTTTAACCCTTAAATACTCTTCCCCCTCCCCTCCCCCCTCAATCCCCAGAGCATTAACAGCCCTGGACAGCTGTTTTGGCTTTCGATTACGCCTCCTCAGCACGGCATAGCTAATCCTGATCCTGAGAACAAGTTTCCCACAAAAAGAATGGTGGACATACAACATAAGCCAAGCCTAAAGCATAGGCTTCTAGTCTGAATTGCATAAATCAGGGCCTTGACACAACTTTAAATTCTCACAATTGGATTCATTGTATTCTGACACGTCCCTACGGACTCCTTTAAGGTTCCTTCTTCAACAGGGTAAAACAATGTTCAAACGTTGCCATTTCGTGGTATTTCACCCGACATTCTACATATTTTCACCTCTCCCCTTTCCCTCCCCAAACATGAGGCGTTTCGTTTTGATCTGTCGCTGGAATCACAACATTGGCTGGGGTGGGGTATTGTGGTACAGTGTTTTGAATTTTACAGCTCAGAAACATAGTACATGGAAAGCACATTTCGAATATGTTTCATCTACTTATGTCGCCTATATTGAACTAAAACGGTACTTGCATTCCGGTTAGGTTTCTACAAGGTTTCTATAAAGGTTCCCACTGGGTTCTCACTAAGTTCCTAAACAGTATGTAAATTATTCCTACATGCACAAAGGACTGTTTGTGGTTCTTTCAAGGCTCCTGCAATTTTCCTACAAGGTACCCAAATGGTCTCAATAGTAGTCCACTGGTTCTCACTGAGTTCGTACAAACTTAATCCAAGGTTCCCACTGTACAAATCTAAAGTGTTTTTACACAGCTTCTATAACGTATCAGTCTTGAGTTCGACAAGGTTCATAGAAATTTCTGTCCTTGTGTTTACATGAAGGTTTCAAGGATTCCTTTGAGGTTTGTATCCTACAAGTTATGTTTCTACAAGGTTACTACAATTAATGTACCTTGTTTCATTAGGATTTCTATAAGGTAAATACATGATTTCATCAAAGGTCCGTATGGTTGCTTTGGATCTAAATAGTTTAGGTATTCTCTTTCTTGTAATTATGGCCGTTGCTCCTTACGTTCTCCCAAAGGATCAAATGCTTTCGGCTTGAACAAGTTGTTCCAGCTCATATATTATGTCACTCATGCTAGGGCGTTCCTCAGGGTCCCTCTTCACGCACTGCTCAATGAGCCCCCGCAAGGCACCATTACTTACCTGGCTGATCTGACAATGGACCTCTTGAGGAACTGGTAGTTCTCTGACGCACATTTCACACAACAGTAAACCAAAACTGTACACGTCCACCTGATTGAAAAAAATGCAAGCGTAATTTAAACACCACTGAAGTGATTATAGAGAAGTATTAAAACAGGTGAGCAGCAGCGAAAAGTCTTTATCATTCAGCCGATAACCCAAGCCAGAAAAAGAGATAACTAATACATCACTGACGGGAAACCATTCGATTACATCCATTCGATGTCATTCGAACCCATGCAATTTCAAATATACGTAAGTCACTCAAACAACGTGCTGAGCCGCAGACACAACACTGTCGTGAAGCGAGGTCTTTCAGTAGGGTTCATATGTTACATTCGTCCCAGGAGACAGCCAAAGCTGACATTTCTTATCAAGTGCTGACTATAAAGTTTTGCATGCGTAGCTGGGCATACGGCAGTCACTGAATTCGAAACGATCTACACGTTAGAGCCATGTTGCTAAGGAAGACGCGCGGAATATTAAGCAAGCTAATTAAATGCAATTTCTGAACAAAGGACCGAAATTTCTCTCCTTAGTAAAATATATTTTGAGAACACAATAACAATCGTAATGAAAACATTACTGGCAATTTTGGATGTAATACATCAAAAATCGAATGCAGAGCTGTATGTCTCAACAAAACAGGTAACATGATCGCAAAAACTCTCTGAAACAACACAATGTTGATTAAATTAAGAAAACACTTTTTTCTTTACCTTTGGTGACTGTTGAGAAGTGAGGGCCTCTGGTGCAGAATAGATTATTGCCCCTGGGTTCACTGTCATGCATTGACGCATGAAATTCGCCGATCCATAGTCAGACAGCTTGGCTCTCCAACACTCATCTCGTCTCCATAGCAACACGTTGGCGCTGCTGATGTCTCGATGTATTATGGGAAGCGGTCTATTAAAGTGGAGGTAGTTTAACCCTTTAGCGACGTCCAAGGCAAGACTGACAATCTCCTCGTCATTTAATGCTCGCTCGGACAACAAGCGCCGTAAACTGGTGTCTAGTATTTCCGTGACAAACAAAGGATTGCCATCATCGTTAGTGGCGCCAATAAACTGTAAAAGATTCGGATGGCGACAGCAGGACGCAATGTTCATTTCTCGTTCAAACAGTCTACGATTATGAGCTGAAAGAATGACCTCGTGAATTTCTTTAACAGCAACTTGGCAACCACGAAATGTGCCTTCACGTACCTCGCCCCAGGCCCCTTTGCCCAAAACTCTGGCACTCGGAAGAACTTCCTCGCGTCGGATAATCCAGTCACGTGGTTGGCGACGCTGATACTCAGCCAGTTCCTCTTGGGCCGCAGTAACAGCTGATTGCAACTCTCCTTCGTTGGACAAGTACCTGTTCCTTTCTTCTTGCATCTGAAGTTCCAGGCTTCTTAGCCTTTCTTCTAAAGTTGTCTTCTGTTGGCGTTCTTCTTCCAAAAGACGCTGTTGTTCTCTATTAGCGCTCTCTTTCGTCTGCAGCTCTTGTTGACGAACTCGACCTGACAGCATTTCAGTTTGTAATCTTTCTTCCAATCGTGTTCTCACTTGCTGCTCTTCGCCTAACGTGTTCTGTAGTTGGTCTATAATCGTTTCCTTGTCTCTTAGCCTTTCTTCCAGAGCTGTCTTCTGTTGGCGCTCTTCTTCCAAAAGACGCTGTTGCTCTCTCGAAGCATTCTCTTTAATCTGAAACTCTTGTTGACGAGCTTGACTTGACAGCATTTCAACTTGCAATCTTTCTTCCAACTTTGTTCTCACGCGCTGCTCTTCGCTTAACGTATACTGTAGTTGTTCTACAATCGTTTCCTTTTCTCTTAGTTGCCGCTCCCTTGTGTCGCGTAAACGTATCTCGTTTTCGAGCGTTTGACGAATCTGCGCGAGTTCATTTTGCATTCTTCCTTGCAGCTCGTTACAAGCAATCCTCGCCTGACTTAATTCCTCCAGCACTCTTGTTCTAGCTTGCTGCTCTTCACGTAAATTGCCCTTTAATGTTCTTACCAAATCTGTTTCCTTCAGCCTTAATTCCTGTTCTCCGATATTACTAGCACGTTTTTCGTCATCAAGGGCTTGAAGCACCTGCGCAACATCACTTTGTACTTGAGGCCAGTTGTTATTTTCGCCGCTGCCTTGTTTCATTTGTTTAGAATCTTGCTTTTCAGTAGGTATTTCACTTGTGTTTACAAGCCCAGCTTCTTCCATCTTCTTCTCCTAAAACAAAACGAATAGACGCATTATATAGTCAGGCTCAATCAACCGTACTCGAAGAATCAAATGTCACAACGCTGGAATCCAGTCCCAACACTTACGATCACAGGCGTTGTATTATTTACGATGGGATTTCTTGGAGCTGTAACAAATGAGAGTAGTAGTATTAATATATTCTCAGTTTTAACAAAACCCCAGCAACAAAACCTTCATATGTTGACTTTTATAATCATACCAGCTAAAATAAGCTGAGCTGTAATTTTAAAAGAAATCTGTTGTTCTCTTACGTTTCAGCCTTTATGCTTCTCGATCAGTAATTTGTTGAATTTGCATGTGCAATAGGGAAGAAACACACTCTTCATTTAAGTGGCCTAATCACTATTTGTTAGTTCTACTCTTTAAAGTGCTTTCCTTAAAATCTAATCCTGAGTTCCTTCGCCTATTTAAGTGCTAAGGAGGCAATATTCTTCAGTTAGATTTGGTCAAGCACATGTTAACATATTGTACTCCAAAGTTTACTACGCTAATCATTAACACGCGAACTCTGCTCGTATCCATCAACGACTAGTCGTCCTGCCCTTAATCATCTTATAACATAAAGAACACGGGGGCTTATTACAGTGCAAAAAGATTCATAGTCATGTGGTTAGATCAAAACATGTGAACAGCTTATATATCAAGGCTAATTACGTGTATAAACAAGCAACTTTAACATGATGTTATCAAACAGAACAAAGGAAAAGGTCTAACTCTCTAGTAGTCTCAGTAATGCTAGGCTCTAGGTTCTTGATGCAGAAAACTTCGAGAAATGCTGATTGCGACCAATTGCCATCACTGTATTAATACTGGCATATTTGATACCCCTACCTCTTACAGCGTTTGCACTCTTTGTTCCACCTGTGTTAGCTAATTGGATGCTACCACTTGGCTTAGATCCTACTTCTTCGTATGGTCTGCCATAGAAACTAGTTGCACAAATGCCTCTTTCCCTTCCAGACAATGGTCTAGCTGAAGTAACCACGTTTGACACCTCAGAACGTTTTTTCAAAGGAGAGCCTTTGGATGATGGTGACGTTTCTTGAGAAGTGTAGCGTTTCACATACTCTTTTAACCCTAATAACATAGAGAACACGGGGGCTTATATATTACAGTGCAAAAAGATTCATAGTCATGTGGTTAGAACAAAACATGTGAACAGCTTATATATCAAGGCTAATTACGTGTATAAACAAGCAACTTTAACATGATGTTATCAAACAGAACAAAGGAAAAGGTCTAACTCTCTAGTAGTCTCAGTAATGCTAGGCTCTAGGTTCTTGATGCAGAAAACTTCGAGAAATGCTGATTGCGACCAATTGCCATCACTGTATTAATACTGGCATATTTGATACCCCTACCTCTTACAGCGTTTGCACTCTTTGTTCCACCTGTGTTAGCTAATTGGATGCTACCACTTGGCTTAGATCCTACTTCTTCGTATGGTCTGCCATAGAAACTAGTTGCACAAATGCCTCTTTCCCTTCCAGACAATGGTCTAGCTGAAGTAACCACGTTTGACACCTCAGAACGTTTTTTCAAAGGAGAGCCTTTGGATGATGGTGACGTTTCTTGAGAAGTGTAGCGTTTCACATACTCTTTTAACCCTAATAACATAGAGAACACGGGGGCTTATATATTACAGTGCAAAAAGATTCATAGTCATGTGGTTAGAACAAAACATGTGAACAGCTTATATATCAAGGCTAATTACGTGTATAAACAAGCAACTTTAACATGATGTTATCAAACAGAACAAAGGAAAAGGTCTAACTCTCTAGTCTCAGTAATGCTAGGCCCTAGGTTCTTGATGCAGAAAACTTCGAGAAATGCTAATTGCGACCAATTGTCATCACTGCATTAATACTGGCATATTTGATACCCCTACCTCTTACAGCGTTTGCACTCTTTGTTCCACCTGTGTTAGCTAATTGGATGCTACCACTTGGCTTAGATCCTACTTCTTCGTATGGTCTGCCATAGAAACTAGTTGCACAAATGCCTCTTCCCCTTCCAGACAATGGTTTAGCTGAAGGAGCTACGTTTGACACCTCAGAACGTTCCTTCAAAGGAGAGCCTTTGGTTGATGGTGACGTTTCTTGATACGTGTAGCGTTTCACAAACTCTTCACGGAAGACGTTAATTGTTTCGTCGTCAATGATAGCAATACGCACGTCACGGAGAGTGCTGAATTTGGGGTCAGTATTTGAGCTAAATTCCTCCACTGCTTGAAACATCACTTGGGCGCAAATGCTTTTTGGTGTGCCAAGAATTCCAGAGCTTATTGCTGGAAGGGCAATGGAAGAAAGCTTCAATTCTGCTGCAAGACAGAGGCTTTCCATGCATGCTCGGCGAAGAAGTGAAATATTCCTTTGTCTGTAATGGTCATTCCATCTCGGACTAACTGTGTGTATGACATATCGACAAGAGAGATTGCCACCCTTGGTATACACAGCGTCGCCTTCGTTAAGCGGCCTATTATTTCTATGCAACATTATTTGTCTGGACTCTTCTTCAATCTGACGACCTCCTTTTCGCACTATTGCAGCTGCCACACCACCGTCGTGCTGAAGGACATGGTTTGCCGCGTTGACAATGGCATCCACTCGCTCGTCAGTTATATCTCTTTGGTACAGGGAGAACTTCACCCCATGTATTAGAAGCTGCTGTAATACCGAGAATCGATCTTCCTGGGAAGTCTGGGGTTCGCGAGCACTGAGATTAGTATTTCTTTGACTATGTCTAGTCTTTCGGCTACCACCTTGCAGTGATCCAAGCTTTTCCTTTAAGGCTTGTACAGAACTGGTAATGTTATTTCTTTCCCCAAAGACCTGTAACTTGTTATCTCTCCTCATTTCAATGATCACCGGATTTTCACTTTCTATAGCCTTAATCGCCTCGATGATAAGTGCTTTATCGTCTGCACTTTTTAGGTCAATCACTTCCAAGCTCACATTCGGAAAGAGCTTTTGGTAAAGATCAATGAAAGCATCGCATCCTTCTTGGTAGCTATGTGGATTGTTTAATATTTCACTTGAATGTATTTGCACCTGGGTTGCGTTTTCATTGCGGATGATCTTCACGCCATGTGCTTCTTCTATTTCTCGAAGCTTGTTCTTGTACGCCTGTTCAAGGAATTTCATGAACGTTGGCTGAATCTCAAAGCTGCTGACGTCGACAGTGTTGAAATCATCAATATCCAACATTTCTGAAGAATTTTGCTGGGTCTGTTTTATATCACCGGCTTGTTGAAAGACATCGTTGGCTGTATTGACGAAGGCATCCACAGGCTCCTCAGTCATGTCTGTCTGGTATAAGCATAATTTCACGCTGTTAATGATTATTCAGAAGGCGCTGAACGAAAGACAGTGTAAAACACTGAACATAATCAGTTCTTATAGACATGTGACTCATTGGTAGCTATGTATGTAGTAGAAATATAAATAGAAAGGACTATGTCCGAACCACATGCAGTTTCGCTTTATTAAACTATAATTTAGTTTACCGGGGCGGTGATTTCTTTACAGGCTATCACTCCGTGAATTAACTCAACAGTGAAAAGTCGGTAGGAGTTTTTCAGAATCATGGTGTCTGCCAGGAAGTGTTTCTTCCTCTCTCTTCTTCCAAGCCCCCTTCTCCACCTACTCGCCTCTTGTGTGCCTATTAAAATGCAGGAAAGCTTTCTACGCTCGCAGGCTAGAGAAAGTGGTTTTCAAATTCCACTGGCAGCGTTCAATCCTCTACGGGCTAGTAAATTCCGCTATAAACTTTGTCATAGTTTCTTGCGACTAACCATAAATAATCATGAATTCAATAAGACTTTAAGATTTTATCATATATAGCGATCTCATGGTTTGAAATGTTTTTTATCTCTAGTTTATGTTTCTTACATGTATTGCCTGCCTGCCAGACCGATTGATCGAAAGCTTATCCTGAGTATCGGAAACAAATGATAGTAACTACCGACGGTTTTAAAGTATCAAGTGACCAGTATTATTGCCCCCCGATGTAACACTCCAAATTCACTCGAGCTCGATGTGTACACTCCAAAAGCACATGGTTTAATTCTAACACATACTTCATGTAAGTCACACTATATATATATATCTAACGACTACTTCGTGTACATCGCACAGGATATAACACCCGCCCCCATTTTATGTAACGCCAGTGCCACCTATCCTTTTTCAGGTATGGTAGGAGAATGTCATGCATCACAAAGAAAAGACTGAGAGAGAAGATCTCTTGTTTCGACGAGTACAACGTCAACGTATCAATCATTGACGCCTCCAGAAAACTAACTACTAGCTACTACTTCCACTTTCTGTCATGGAAAAAATAATTCTTTAAACCAACTCAGTCTCCAAATAACATTGCCCTGCTGCGAGCCAAACTTTGTACAGGAGGGATCGTATAGAGCTTTGAAAGAGTTCCTATACTAACACCAAGTGGATTCACAGCCATTTTGAATGAGAGGAAAATCACACTTGAAAGTAGTTTTTATTCATCAAAGAACATATACAATGTGTCTTCACAAACTCAAAACAACTAACGAAGCTTAAAGGGTAAAGTAAGCAACCTATCTTTAGCGTGACGCGAACATTAATTTTTAGAGGAATGCACGTAACCTTACCACTAGGCTATGATTATCCGTCTTCATGATTTCCTCGTATGGTTTCACATTTAAAGCCGCTCCTTCAAGCTCCTGTTTCTTCTGTAGAACTGTTTTCACATCTATTGGCACAAGAACATACACCAGGTGTATTAACAGTATTGATGGAACTGGTTTTATTTTTGTTGGCATGAAAAACAAACTAAATCTAGTTGTACTGAAGTTATGGCCGGGGTAGGAGGCACTTCAACATGACTGATTTATCAATTATGGGATTGTTTTCAAATAATGAAATATATATATATATCTTTATCACAATCAAAGTGTTGATTTGGTTATAATAACCCAGAGAGTATTTATTTTGACAAAGTAGACTGAGTAGCTGAAGATGACTGAAGTTGACTACAATCAGTGACTGCTGCGTTAATTTTGCATACTATCGGTGTTAAAGGAGGTCACTCCAAAAAGCTTACTTTTTTTTGTCTTCGCCTATAGCAAGTAAACATTAAGCTTTTCCACTCACCGAAGTTTCAGCCTCTGAA